ATCATTATTAGTTTTCTGCTATATGGAAGCCATAAAAACGACTACGTAGTTTTTAATAAATAATATTGTTGGCAATGACGACGCATATAATTATTTCATTGGAAATGATAACGAAAACTCACCACAACACCTATATTGACACATTCCTCACATCTCTCTGACTACTCCGTTATTGAGTCATGTCATCAAATAACTCTTTGACAACAGATTCAAAATCATACGTACCAATATAATATATCTTGCTCTAAACAATAAATTGCAATGGGTTTGGTCGGTGGGTTGGGGTAAAAATAACAAGCATTGTCCATTTAATAAAACGTATTTAGAGTCAGTTACTGATAACGCATTGGTATGTGTAATGAAATATATTTCGAAATGTATATTTTCTGAATTCATTAGTTAATAATTTCATTAGAATTCACTTCAGAATGCATTGGTTTTTGAACATTGCTGATGTTATCTCTTCTATCTTTGCCAGAGCCAACACTTCAGCAACTGAAACACATGAAAAATGTTCTGTTTTTTTTACTGTAATTGGATAACGTAAGTCATTAAAGGATGTACCAGAAAAAAACTGTTCCCTTATACTTGTTCTAAATATGATAAAGTAACTCAAATATTTGAACGTTTTCCCGATCACTATTTTTTTCTGAGAAGGAGCAATTCTCTAAGCAAACATTAGCGTCCGATGTGGTATAGTCGAGACTAGGGATGGCAAAAAAAATCCTCCAGAAACATCGATATATTAACATCGATGTTTTGTTTTCATAATTTTTTCAGATCAAAGTATTTTTCCTAAAACATCGATGTTTTGAAAAAACGTTTGTTATCTTTTTTCGGCGATTTTGTTCGTGGTAATATCGTTAAGTTGCATTTCGAACCTTGTCTGCATATGAAAATGATTAAAAATGTCTGACATTATTTACATTGCTATTTTCCAATACTCCATCCCTGTATTTATCCCATACTGATTTACTAAAATTCAATAAATTGCGTTAGATAATTTAAAATAGACTTCAAGGAACCTAGGAAGTAATCAATGAAGCCATTATTCTCCTTGTTTGTAAGTTAGCTCTTCCGTTTCACACAAGAACCATGCTCATCTTTATAGCTGAAAGTTATAAAAAGAAATAAAACACAGTTAGTTGCTTTTGTTTCGTTATGCATAGCCAGATTCTCGAATAAGGTAGGCGGGTCGTAAAAGATATAGATAAGATATTCCGTTATCCCATTAGTACAACTCTGCATTACTGGCATTTACAAAAATATTATTACGGAAATTAATTCCACCGACATGTATTCCTGCACTCCACACCAACTAGGAAAAACTCTCTATAATACCCTGTAGTATTTTTCGGACAACTGCGCGTTCTTCTGTCCCTTGTGAAAATCCTTTCCGTTACTTCTCGTACTAGGGTTGCCAATATTCATGTGTGATGAAAGAAAGTCAAATTGCGATGAATAAGTGATAGCAGTTAGAAAGAGAAATAAAGAAGAGCATGAGTTTAGAATTAAGGAACGGTGTACAAGATATTCGAGTAATATGAAAAGGGGGAAAGGAAATCAGAATCGATAAAAGGGGAGCATGCAAGCAATAAATTAACCAAGAGTTTATTGCGACGTTCCTGAGGCAATAAAAGTAGACAAAACGCAAAATACTAAAGAAATTGACGTTAATGAGAAAGCCGATTGAGAGGTATGTAACATATTGGAAATAATGAGTGAGGATGAAAAGGGAGAAGATAATTGAGATGAAGTTTATGGATAAGATTACTGTACTAAAAGAGAGGCAGATGAATAGAGACTCCATGGAAACAAATCAAACGTCACTTAAAATATTTAAACAATTACAATAAGGATGACGAAAATAAAAAAACATTGAATGTCAATCAATAAAAAGTTATAGTGATACGACATATAAGAGGAATGGAATATATATTACTTTTGTATTTCTGTGATTCATTATTTTCCCGTGTGATTCGTGGAACTAAAATATAGCCGTATTTTTGTCAATGAAAAGGGACGAGAAAAAATGCTTTATCTTGAAACAAATTTTAAGAAGTTTTCTTCGTGAAGAAGCTAGATCATCAACGATGAAAATGTGTCGTCTATAGAGTTATAGAAATTCAAAATATTCTATTAATCTCTACATTGGAGGTAAAACCAGAAAATAAATTTTACCACTGACTAACATTTCAAAAAGAAATACTAGTCATCAATTTGTTTAGGGACTCGACAGAAGATGAGATTTTGTGCTTTATATTTCAAAGGGATAAAGTGCTCTCTCTCCCTTCAAATATTTCCCTGCGCTCCTCCCACCTTTCAAATTAAAGGGATTTAAGCTGACACAGGCGCTATTTGAAGTGGCGCAGTCGCACAGCCACGAACACAACAATGTAACATCCCGAGGCGCTTCAGAACGGCTTTGAGGGATGTACTGCACGAGTTCGGCTCTTCTTGCGTCATAAGTGCAAAGTCACAAGTACCCGTGATAAAGGGATGTTGATTGAAGTGTGAGAAACTGAACTATGAAACGACGGGAAAATCTCAATAAAGAAAATTATTGTTTCATTAAAATATTATGGTGCCACCTTCTGTATCACAGTGGGTGAAACAAATTCATGGAAAGTTTACAACGGTTAGAAGAAAGGTGGGCAGTTGGCAGTTCAGACCTTCCTATAAAATTACATATGCGATTCATCACTGAAGTTACATTCTTTTAAAAATCTAGTATTAGACAAGGTTTGGAAACGTTCGGTAAACTTATATTGATGAAAATAATGGCACAAAGGATTGTTTCTTAAACCATGAAAAATGACCAAAAAAATTATACCACAAAAAATCTTTAACTGGCCTGAATGGTCCACAAAATGACCTAGTAATTATATTATTCGAAATGTTTGCAAGTATCAATGAAATTGACTTATCTAATTTCGTGCTCTAATCATAACATTTTTTCACGTGTTGATCTTAAAGTTTTCCACTAGGCCGCCTACCATTCGCAGACGTTATATTACTTATTTACTTGTATGTCCGGGTGACGACGCGTCCATGGCGAAGGTGCCGACGTTTCGGTTGCCATTCTGCCACCTTCCTCAGGGCGTAATGCGCGGAGATTCATTTTCCCCTCTCCAGTTACCCTGGAGAGGCGGACATTTATTTACATTTGGGATACATATATCCTGCAGCCGGTGAGGCGTTTGCAGATTGAGAGGGCGGTATCTTAAATAAACTAATTTATACTAACTTAAAACTAATTACATTTCCTCTTTGGGAATTGTTTGTTTTGTTTAGTCATATTGATGTTTAGATTAGTTCTTTGTATTGTTCTTGTTTCTTTTGTTCTTTTTGTTCATTTTCGCACGCGTTCATTCTTAGGCTATATTTACAACCCCATTGATTCATTTATTCATTCATTCATTCATACCCGCAGCACTATTTACACTGCCTTTTAATCGCCACGTCTTCATGATCAGGCGACACTGGCCTGACGGAGCGCGTTTCCGCGCCGCCCGCGCGTCTTCCGGCATCCGTGGGCAGCGACCGCCCTCCACGCACTTGCTCCCTCACGTCGCAGAGCTCAGAGAGCTTGTGCGGGGGCAGTGCGCGGAAGGTGAAGGCGACGTGCTGTGGGCCCTTTCTTCTGTGGAAGGCCCTGTGCACCCCGCCCTTGCGAGCGCCGTCTCCGCCCTCTTTTGTAGCTCCGCCGGGAACTGGTTGCGAACGCCTAAGATTCTGAAGACGTCAGCGTTTTGGGGTTGTCGGTCGGATCTGGTAATAGGTAAGTGCGGGCGCGCAGCGATTTGCGCCGCTCTGTTCTCTGCTACCTGGATGGGGAGCAGAGTGGAGGGAGAAGCTGCCGCGAATACCTCACAAGCGTACGCCCACAAGGGACGCACGCAAGCTGTGAATAAGCAGCGCTTTAGAGGAATTGCTAGGTCGGAAGAACGGAGAAGATGTTTCAAAAGGAGGGTGCGAGTTTTAATTTTGCCAGCGAGATATCGAACGTGCGCGTTCCAGCGAAGGCCGCTGTGAAGTAGCTCGCCCAAATATCTCGCTTCGCTCCGCCAAGGTGTGTGCAAGCCAAGCTCACCGTTTCATTGGGGTTAGCTCTCTTACGAGTAAAGTTGACGTCGACGCATTTCTCTAGGTTGAGAGCGAGACGTATCCGACTTAGTTATTCAGGAAAGGCGGCGAAACAATCACTTAAGAATTTAACTCATTGCCTTCCTTTCGCCGATTTCGCATAGTGCGCGAAATCATCCGCGAACATCAGGAGCCCGCAGCGTTGAATATCAGTTCTTGTTTCAGCAGGAAGCGGCGCGTCATTCACGTATAAGCCGAAGAGGGTAGGAGAAAGAACACTCCCCTGA